TGACTTTTCAACCCAAAAACTATGTCGAAATTTTGCTCTCTGCGCGTGCCCGAGATTTTCAGGCCGCCATTTTGCATTTGGATCGAAAGGCCGTCGAGTGCATGAGCTGTCAAGTGGTTTTTGGTAAGTTAGAGCTTTTAAAACCCCAACAGTGACCCGAAATCTGCTGGACTAGCTTCAAAACACAGTTTTCCACAAAAGCTGCGGCCATTAATGGGTTAAGCAAATAAAACAGTCCAAATCTGTGTAAAATTGTATAGAGTGGGATAGCAGTGGTAGAGTGAAAATTAAGAGAGGTTTGGGTTGTGTCATCAATCATTATGCCACCAGACCCAAGGCTGCCTTTTTTTTCACACCTCTGCTACTAACTTCACTTCATTTTACTTACTGAATGCCTGGAACAGGACACCTACAAATCACTGTGTAATTACAGTGTACATGCATGCAATATTTTATGAAGAAAAAGAGAGAGGAAAAAAAACATGTAATCTTTCAAGGAGTAATCAATAGTATATCAAACCTTTTTAGCTTCCTCTTGGGCTCTTTCTTTTTTTATTCTCTGCAGCTCAGCAAGAAGTTCTGCTGTGTCATCTTCATCATCACTATGGACCATTGATTAAGAAAAAAGATATGAATTTGTGTATAAATTTAAAAATATTGACTTGTAGGACCTACAATGTGAAATGAGTTTCTACATGTGCTAATGGAAAGTACTGTTGACAGTTTTTGCACAAACTTCTGTGAGAACTTGAATGAAAAAACTTCCCAATGTCTGCTCAACACAGTGTAATATGAGAGTCAATGAGATGTAAAAACATAGCACCTTTCATCAGAATCATAGTCATCATCATCATCAACTGGATCATCTGCATCTAGATTTGAGGGAGGTGGTTGATCAAGTCGGGGTCTCTTTGGCTGTTCAACTGCTGATCTATTTCCTTTCTCCTTAACTCGCTCGCGTGCTGCTTGACGTTCTCTCTCTTCCAAATCTTTGCGGAAGTCTCGGCTGCGGACTTCTTCAACTGTATCTTGACCTGTTTGCCTGTTGATCCACAATATTAGTATCAATAAATAATAATAATAATAATGAATACATCTTTATTAAATTTGGTTCTCTAGGATCAGACTCGTATCAGACCCAAACTAACTTTGATAACAAAACCGACCTACATATAAAAATCACGAAAGCAACTACTAGTTAATAATAACAATAATAATACGTATGATGCACAATCCTCGCAGTAGAGAGCGCTATTTATGCAATAGCAAAAATCAGACCTGAAAAAATCAGGCCTGTATGGGATTTGAACCACTGACCTCTGCGATACTAGTGCAGCTCTCTACCAATTGAGCTAACAAGCCAACTGGGAGCAGGCCATTAAGTTGATTCGTAATAAACCCGTGATGAAAAATCAGGTACAATGAATATATGAACTTCATATATTCATTGTACCTAATAATAATAATAATAATAATAATAATAATCTCTTGACAAAGGAAATGCAAAGTCTTCAAAAGTTCAATGCAAAATAATAAGAAAACTTTACTATAAAAATAATAAAAATAATCTATAACAGACGAGTTTAAGGAAGTCTTGCTCGACCCTTCCCTACTTCCAGATCCCTGTCTTTAATGTCTGAGTTCCTCCTTCTCAGGGTTCTAGATCCCCAAAGACATAAGAGTGCGCTCTGCAAAATTGCAAAGGACACTTTCACATAATAATATTAATAATAATAATAATAATAATAATAATAATAATAATAATAATAATAATAACGTTGTTTCCTATAGGCAGGGTTTTCATGGTAATTTACGAAAAAAATGTAGCGCGGGTTCACTGTAAGGCTGCTAGGAGAATTCTAAAGAACAGAACACAACTATTTCCTCTTTAAAGATCTTTGGTCAAGTTCAGTTCTATTAAGGAAACATAGTAGTGTCTACGGTTCGTTTGCACTCTGGGACGCAATCAATGTGTTCTATATTTACTCTTAGCTTGAAAATCTCGCCGACGTTATTTCATTAACCATTCCATGACTACTTTTCACTTACACTATAAATAGTTCAAGTCTTCAAATATACGCGTTTAAAGGGAGACTTGAAAGCCAAAATATATAAGTTAAGAACACAGTGTAAACCCATCGTCACTTATTCCTAACCTGTGTTTTAGTTTTGTGTGCGATGGTAAGTCTCGACTAGAGTACTGCTTTGATAATGCGGAAAGATCTCCCTCTCCTTTTCCTCGTCCTCCTTTTGCAGTGTCCCAGGTCGGTCTCGCTGCTGTGGTCATATTTCCTTACTTTTTTTCTTCACTCAATATTTCTTGAAATCCTTTACATTCAAAACGTCCAAAAGAAACCTCAAATGGTAAAATCAAAATGGCGTCTCATGCAAACCACTGACTCACCGCTGACATTAAGTTCATGTACGTCACGTAAGAAGCCGTGATTTGTACTTGAGAGAATACTGAATCATTCCAACTGCCCCCGAAGTATTAGGGCTGGTCAAGTTTGGATTGACAAATTAAGAACGTCGTCAATAAGGGGGAGGACCCACGGCGGATTTTTAACAAGCACAATGATAGCTATTAATAGTAATTTCTCTTTTTTTTTTTTTTTTTAAAAAAGTGGCCCTATGGTATGTGACCTTTGGGTAATATTATTCAATAGTTCAGAAAGATGACTTCTTACTACATCTAGGGAAAAGGGATGCCGCATTTCATGGTTTATGAAAAAGGGAAGACATAAGTCAAAGGGTCCAGGTTTGATCCTGGAGGACAGAGCATCCCTTCACGTGACATTTGTACAGGTATCCTTCATCTCCACTTAGAAAAACAAAAACGAAAGAAAGTGATTCTTTCTTCAGAAGAGAAGCCTGTGCATGACTACTGAATGGGCCAAAAATTAATTTTCCTTCCTAGGAGTTGCAAAAAATACCTTGCATCCCTTAAGAGAAGAAAATTGGTTCTTTGTACAAGTGAACCTGTTGAAGACTTAACCATACCTTATTCTTGTAAGTGAAAGAGGCTATCCAGCATGGAAATCAAATTATCTATTTAATGGGTAATTCATAAATATAGCTCACAACTATTTCCTGTGATCATTACAGTTAAGAAAACTGGTGCTCTGAAAAAACTTTACACCATTGTTTGTAATTCTTATTTCAGTACATAAATAACAATTGTATCAAAGAATTTGAAAACATCTGCAAAACTAACAATGTTTGGATTCCTTTTATTATATGTTTATAAATATTTTAAAAAGGGGTGGAAATATGTAAAAAACTGCTAAAAAAATTGAAAAAGTGCATCAAGATTTGTTCTTCTATGGTGCCAAAAATTTTCTTGAATAAGTACTTTGGCAAGAAAAAGGACTTTGAAGTAGTATTCATGATTGTTTGATCTGGTAGAATGGCATATCTATGGTGGCCCATTAGTGCAAAACACAACACAAACACTGAAAACAAAACACACACAAACTGAAAACACAAAACACACGCTAAAAACACCACAAACTTATCTGCATTGTCAATTTTTCAGAACTTTCTAAAATTTAATTAAATATCACCAATAATAACTGTGATGTTCTGTGGAATATCAAATCACTGCCTTGCCAAAAAATTAAAATATGGGCCAAATCAGTTGTTAACACCATTCCCAGAATTTTCTTAGCAGCAGGTCAGGTGATCCATGCATGCTCTATGGTGTTCCATTATAGGCTAAGACATGCCAAGATTATTCAGAAATATACTGCACTTTCCATCAGTTTTTAGTTCTTATTAACCGAGCAGGAGGTCTGTATGGGAGAATCTTGACCGAGGTCACCAATACAGACCTCACTGTGTTCGGTCTGTGGCAGCGACCAAGGTCAAGATTCTCCCATACAGACCGACCTAGCACGGTTGATAAGATGTTTATTATATGGCTGTGTCTTGTATGCCAATTTTTTATATTCTTTGTACCTTTTTTTTCTAGACCGGTCTAGATGCCGGTCTAGATGGGAAAATCTAGACCGCTTTCAATATTGAATTTGTGAATTTGGTAGTTCCGAGTCCTTGTGAGACACAGCCATATAATAAACCAGCATAATGACCCACTCAGAATTTTGGTAGAATATGAGAAAAGTTTATAAATCATAAGCCAGGGGCGAGTAATTTACAAACTTTTGAAGTGTTCTCCCAACATCCAAAGTAGGTTGGTGCCAGGTAACTCAATAAAAAGTGTGGTCTGTTGCTTCTATAAAATAACTTGAGGTTTACTGTGCAATAACTGAGAGGTTTTTTAACCAATCAGGGCATTCAAGTATTTAAAGTGACTTTATGAAAAGAGTTTGAGCAAAGCCACCTCAAGGATGTTGAAAGGCACCTTAAAACATCTATGCTTCATTAAGTTTGTTCAGATGAGCAAGCAACAGTCAAAGACAGACTATGGGTTCCTAAAATGGACGTGTTCCAGTAATACAGGTCCCCTTTCTCTATGCTACCACTGCCTCCCCTCGAGCAAAACGTAGTTCGAACGAACCAATCAATTTCTCCTGAAAGTAATAAAATTAAATACTTTGTCCAGTTTGAAGATTATCTCAATTAAAGGCTTTACTTTATCCGTACAGGCCTTTGAGAGTGCCTTGCAAAACAATATCTGGCAGAGGGTTGTTTCCCTTGTTGTCTTTGAAGGGATCATTGATGAAGCACATCAATGGCTGATGAGTTAATCTTGGTAACTCATCGTTATAGGCATCCAACTCTTCACTCGAACTTGCTCGCGAGGAATCCAAATTGTGACAGTGTTGTGGTAGACTAGTCTCTAAAAACTGCGAAAAAAGGTTGTGAACTTCGCTAATCCCAATAAAAGAAACAAGGTTCCTTAAGTACTTCTCCAGAGCTTCTCTCCTCGACTCCAAGAATCGTAAGCTTGTATTCAAAGGCTTTGGCAGTTTCGTTGAAGGAAAATGAAGAGGTTCGTGTACAATTTTGCTAATTTGTTTCTGGAAATCGTAAAATTCTCTGTAGCGACGTTCTGTTGTTACTTCACGTCCATTGGGCTTCGTGATGTGAATTTCGTAGACAGTATATTCCTTGTCATTTCTAGGCTTCCTAAATGAAGGAATTGATAAAGCAATCATAGTTATATGTGAAATAGATATTGCACATAGCTACAATTAACTGTTTCGTACCGCTCCATTGCAGCACGCTTCAGCGCTGCAAGGCAGTACAAGAACACACCTTTCCCTACCCTGCAGAGTGCAAGGCTTGACTGAATAACCTTCGGTAAGAGAATCAGGGCTGAGTGGGTAGAAAATTGCTCGAGACTGAAAAAGTAAAATATTTTTTTAAGATTTTTAGCAGTGACATTAAAAAATATATATTTTTAATTTAATTTCAAATTCTCTGTCTCATTTTGAGTATCAGAGTTAATGTTTATCCTCCATAAAAAAAAGAAAAAAAAATACGAGCGGAATCAAAGCAACTAAAAGGCCGGGGTACTCCGGTTAAGATTTTTTGTGTATGGACCGTAGGGCTGACCTATGGACAGCGGGCTCAGATTTCATGTTCGAAGAACGATTTGGGCGGTAGTGTGATGTGGATATGGTGAGGGATTTGTTGTCATTTTATGTTTCAAAGATCCTACCTTTAAAATTATTCAGATGACAAATAACAGAATTGACATCTTCTTTTGTTCATACTGTGTCTTACAGCACAGGCTAAAGTCCTCCCAGCGCGAAAAAGTGAGGCAGTTTATCACCTTCACTGAAACGAATGAAAAGACAGCTATAAACTGCCTCAGCCAAAATGATTGGAGATTGGACGTGGCGTCAGATCTGTACTTTCAGAATCCAGAGAAATACTACATTGATATGAAACCTTTGATAGACAAGAAAAAGCTCACACACCTGTTTGATCGTTACAAAGGTAGGAATAGTGATGTATATATAAAGAACTTTCCCTCTGTTGTACATGTTTTTGTACTCAGAAGAGTGGTAACCGGTTTAAGGATTGTGCAATGTTTTATTGATGATCGTAATGCCCTATTCTAGTCTTTCAGTTAGGTTATTTAATTTTAGAAGTCCCTTTTCAAAATCTTGACACTGTTTTGAACGTTTCCGGTGCGGTGAACTTGTATCATAGCGAGCTACTGTAGTTTGCCAAGGTCAATCTGTGCATACCTGTAAACTAAATACATAAATCTGAAACAAGATGGCCATTTTTTGTAAGTTCTTTCTTTACACCCTTTCGATTTTACTTGTATTTTTTTGGAATCTGGAAATATTTATACCTAACCGAAAAAATGGCTCTGGAAATTCTGCACGGGTGGGGGATATTTCATTGTGAATGCTTAAAAGAATTATTTACAGACAGACTGGAATTTCCTTGGGGGGCTCAAAACACAGAACATACTTTCACAGTAGGAGAGTTATGCGCAGGTTCAGGAATGACAAATTTTAAATATAGTCCTTGGTGAGATTGTTTATCAAGAGATCTTGCCTTTTTTTGCGGCAAGTCCTATGATTATTAAATTTCAACCATCATGAGAAAGGTACAGGATTATGTTTTGGTCCATTATCCTTTTTAACTCCCATGAGTGACCAAGACAGAATGTGTCCTTACTATATCGATACAATATCAAGCAAACCAGTGATGAGATAAAAGAAAATAATCAACACAGGGGAATTACTAATTGATCCAATACCAAATTCTCTGAACTAACATCTTGTAAATTGAATGGAAGACAGTGAGGAGAATTGCTGATGAGGTGTTGGGAGTGAAAGGTTTATAATGTTATGCCCAGTTTATACAAATTTGTTTTAACATGAATTTATGCTCAAAATATTTACCATCTTGGTTGGGATATTTAGGAAATTTAAATTACATTGATGAAAGTTTAATCACACAATTTGTATTACCACACAATAACTTATTGTGTGAAATTCTGGGTGCAACTTTGCATTTCTTAACATTTTTCAATGAGCAAATTCTCTTTGAAGGTTTCAATTGGTGGGGTGTGTATTCTCTGTTCCTGGAATCATCTGTAAAGCTGCTGGACGGCTCTTAAATCCAATTTGGTATATTAAGGTTACATTGTCTATTGCATTTTGATTCTTAAGTGTTTTTTATTTTCTCTCTAGACCCTGGTGATGATGATAAAATCATGGCTGAAGGAATAGGGCGTTTCTGTGAAGATCTCAAGCTAGATCCTGCAAGCCTCAAGGTTCTTATTATAGCTTGGAAATTTAAAGCAGCAACTCAGTGCGAGTTTTCAAGGAAAGAATTCACTGATGGCATGGTAGAACTGGGGTGAGCCGGAAAATAATTCAAATATTTAATCCTGTAATTCCCATGAGTGACAAACACAGAATATCTCCATACAATATCGAGCAGACAATGTGAGAATAAAGAAAATATGAATTAGGTGATTATTAGTTGATCAAATACCAACTTCTCGGAATTAACATCATAAGAATTGTATGGCAGATAGAAGGGAGAATCACTAGGAGATCTTGGAAGTAAAAGGGTTAAGTACATTATGATTTGGCTATATCAACTCAGTTGAAATATGTAAATTGGCCACTGTAACAAATAGAAAAGCTGACGTTTCGGGCGTTAGCCCTTCGTTCTGACAAATGGCTAAAGCTTGAAACGTCAGCTTTTTTATTTGTTATGGTGCCCAATTTACATATTTCAGCTGAGTTGATATAACCAAATTACATTGTTACCCCCACCGACGCAGCACCACAGTTTCTTTAGAAACTTTTAGCCTTTAAGTACATCATACCTTTTTTGGTAGATGGTCAAAGATGAGTAGAAATATAGCCAGAAAATCCTGTCATATCCATTATTTTCAGAAAGGATATTTATGAGTTAAAAAATTCCCAGTGCCACTAATGTTTGCCAGAAATTGCTAATTAATGCACACACCCTATTGAGGACTTCTGGTCCAGGAGGCACCCAGTTGAAAAAGGATAGTGATTTTGTGAACCATATTTAGACTCATGAATCCAAACACCTTTTCCTATTTTGTAGGGCCAAAGAAGGGAGGGTTCCTCCCTGTGAGTAACCATTCTGCGCAACTTAAACCCTCTGAACCCTAAAAGTGACTTGGATCTAATTTCTCCTTACAATATCACGCCTGGCCAAATTGCACATACATGTTATGGCAGGGCTCAACACTAAGTTTTCAACTTTCTAGCCACTGAAGTGGCTAGTGACAACTTAGATGTTACAATAATTTCAGTTTGTTTACTAGCCAAACTGGCCAGTGGAATTGAAAACCTCCCACCAATAGTGAATTTCTGCCAGTCGGTGGCTAGTTGGCTACTGCTAATGTTGAGCCCTGTTATGTGATTAAAAGAAAATCACCATCTGAAAAAACTCTTGATTTAATTTAAACAAATTCTTAATAGTTAGCATCTCAGGAAATATTTAGAGAACAGTATACTGATGTTAGGGTGTAAAGGGTAAATTTAACTCTAAAATTGTTTTTCTCAAGGGAGAAAAGATGCATTCCTATTTTAAGGTTCAGGATAGAGAGTCACATATTTCTTTAATTCCTATTGTAGTTGTGATTCCATTGACAAACTCCGAAGTAAACTTCCAAGCCTGGAGGCTGACCTTAGAGATAATGGTAAATTTAAAGATTTATACCAGTTCACATTCAACTTTGCCAAAAATCCAGGCCAGAAGAGTTTAGGTAAGTTTTCAGGTATTGAGTGTCAATTCTGAGATTTCAGTTTTGTTTGGGAAAATGTACCAAAATTCCTATGCCTCCATCTTTTCCCATTTCTAGGTACTTTTAATGATAAGTCTGTCATGCATCATTTTGACTTTTATACCACTTTGTTTCTCTATTTCTCAATTTTTTGTCAATTTTCCTATTGTTCTCGCCATGATTAACAGATGTTTGACAACTAATAACTTAATATATATGTAAATTGTAAACAGCATTTTTCTGCTGCATGTTTGTATCAACCTTTTTATTTTTTTACTCCTTAGATTTAGACATGTCCATAGCATATTGGAATATAATTCTAAATGGAAGATTTAAATTCCTTGATATCTGGTGTGAGTTTCTTTTGGTAAGTAAAACCATTCTTGGCTTTTTAAGTGATATAGACCATTTGCAGTTGCAGATCACATAGCACCAAAAATTATGCATGCAATTTCACAGGTTCATACGTATGTTCTATGGAAGGACACATGCATTGATGATGTGGTGCCATTGGCAACTTTAGTCTACTTGTTGATTTGATCACAAAAATCTTTTTTTTTTTTTTTTTTTTTTTCATTTTTCTTGATAGTTACATCACAAAAAAGCAATATCTAAGGACACTTGGAACCTCTTGTTAGACTTCAGTAACATGATAGAGGATGATATGGGAAACTATGATGAAGAAGGTTTGTATTACAGAGAGTGTTACAATATTTGATTATGTTTATGACTTACAGGAAAAAAAGTCGTGGAAAATTGCCCACTGTTATCCTTACATCAATCTGTCTGTCTGCTGAATTTATAAGAAAACACATTTTATTTAGGTTTCCTTGTTGTTTTGATATGAAGATCTTGTACTTTTGTATTAATCGAACTTTCTTTTTACTGGCATAATGTACCTAATGAAATCCCATGCATAATGAAATGCACAAGTATGAACTGCCAAGATAGTTCAGGTTTTAAACCTCTTTCCACTTGTGCACTTGTGTCAAGAAGATAGTAAAGAGGGATGTTGGTTTTAGTTAGCTTGTAATTGTGAAAAAATCTACAAAATTTAGCAACCACAGACCCCTCCACTCTCTCAACATTATTTCCTCTGTTAACACTTTCAATATAAGCTTTGTTATAAGTTTGTAAGCCATGTCAGTGAGTTGTCCTCTTAAAGGTGAATTTTTTTTCAGGCCTTATTTCCACAAGTACATAAGTTCTGCGAGTATCGCTTTCTTACATTTCATGAAACCGCAGTATATTCAAAATTCAGTTGAAAACAATTGTTTATAGGAGTGAAGTCTTGTTAATGTCATGAATTTTAATGGTTGTTTATTGTTTATCTTTTTGTAGGAGCCTGGCCAGTTTTAATCGATGAATTTGTAGAGTATGCAAAACCTAGAATTACAGGAAAGCAGACAACTGTTTGATAAGATCTTTGCTTGCATTAGGAGTATTTCAAAATGGGCATCCTGTGATCATATTTTTACACGAGACTGGAAAATTGTTCATTTTTCATGAAATTTCCAGAGCTGACCATTTGAAGTTTAAGCTGAGCTAACATTAGATGCAAGTACCTGTACTAAGGGACTCTCATTAACTTTCACTACCTAACAACTGTCATGGCAGTGATATGTACCCATGGTGTATATAATGGTGACCAAACGAGTATTTTCATACCGATTTTCTTGTTCTAATAATTATCGTTACATAGTTGGGTGGCATATCTTCTTATATTATACAATCCCTTTCTCTTTATGGCATAATCTTCAAACAAGAGGTAAAATTAGCCACCCATTGTAAATTTCTAGTTAAATCAATGCTTTTAGTTAATAATCTCTTTTCACTATATAAACTAAAATATTATTATTCCTGTGAATACTGTGAACAGAAGTAAACCAACATTTTCTACCACTTTTGTCTCTATCATGGTTTCCACACGCCATGGAAAAAACTCTTTAGAGAATGAAATTATTTCTAATAGTAGCAGTTATATTCCGTACATTCAACTCAACATGAATTATTTCACTCTTAAATTCTTAGAACCCCATCAAGAAAATCATATGTATGATAACATTTTCTATCTTTCTAAATTTACTTGCAGCAAGTAAAAGAGAACTCTGAGGAATCAGAACAAACAAATAACAGCAACAAATAGAAAGCTATAATAAACTGTATACTGTTGTAAAAAGTTTTACTGCATTAATTATAAAAGTTTCCAACAAGACTGAGAGATTTGGTATTTGATCAAAGGTAAAAAGAATTGGAGAAGTAAGTGAGTCAGCCACCAGTGTTATATTTGATGACAACAATGGATGCCCTGCCATGGAAAATTCACCCCAAGCCTCGTTTATGCTACAAATTTTAAAACTAGTGTCATCCTCATGTTTTCATATGAATATTCTGTTGAATACAATGCTCTGGGGATACTTTCTTACTTTTGTAGTCTTAAGCAGTCCCCATCTTGGAAGCCAGTGTTAGGGATCAACACTAACGATAGCCAACTAGCCGCAGACTAGTAGATATTCAGTTTTGGCTAGTGGTTTTTGATTTCCACTAGCCTCTTTGGCTAGTAAACAAACTGAAATTGTTTTGCCATCCTAATGTAAGTATGCAACCATGCAAACCACACTATGACTAACAAAAGAAAAAACTGCACAAAGGATAATTATGTAGAACAAACTTATATGCATCATGTACTTTGAATTACAACTAAAATATCCATCTTTCCCAAAAGAGTTCGTTTTATTTAGAAAAATGCAAATCACTCAGAGTTCTTTTAAGATTTATCTACAATTTACATTCACTCATTGGGGAAGAGGAACAGAGATGTTGTACATTTGGGTTTATCTCCCCAAGAAATGAATTCTGAAACAAACAAGTATCTGCTGAGTTCCTTCACGAGCACTATATGTTTTCAGACCTTCATTAATTGAGCAATCACTGGTGGCTATTCAAAGCCTTGGCACTAGTTGCTTTATTGAAGTGGAAATTCAAGTGGGTTATTGAGCACAGCTGATGTGCAATGATCTTAGACTGGAAATTTTCCTTCTATGAGCAACTTTCTCACGCATAAATGATAAGTCTCTGCAAAGGTTGCCTCAACATACAGTAGAATCCCGATTTCTCAAACCTCCAGGGGAAACGCAAATTGGTTTGAGAAATCGGGAGTGAAATTACAAGTGAAGCAAATCCAAGGGAAACACAGTTTGGTTCAAGATATTGGGAGGTTCGAGAAATTGAGATTCCACTGTACTGCAATCGCCATATACAAAGTAGAAATTAAAGTATTATCTTTTCAGTGATTTGTTGTCTAATTAGAACCTAAGGAATACAGACATTGTTACAATTCTAATGAATGAGGAATACATGCTTTTGTCAAAAGGTAGAATAGTGTTCTTCCAATGCAGAATTCAGATAAACAGAGATAGAGCAAGTGTCTTGAAATAATATTCCTGATGTTTACACTGCTGTATGTTATCTGCCAATTCTTTGGACCACCCACTCTTGTTGACACAGTGGACATCTGTTATTTTGCACTACCCAGAGTGACATACAGCAGTTATGGAATGAGTGATTGCACTCTCCCCACACAACTGAAAACATGAGAAAATTTAAAATCAACACTGCTTCAATTTCCTTTATTGAAAATAAGATGTCACTGTGCCTTAACTCTCACATGTGACCAAAACAAAGTTTCTCCATATAATATCAATAAAATTTCAACCAGACAATTGGTGGAGATAAAAAATAATAATCAATTAGGGAATTATTCATTGATCCAGCTGTAAATACTCCGAACTAAAAGCATAAGAGTTGTATGGCAGACCGTAAGGAGAATTACTAAAAATGAGATCTTGGCAGTGAAAGGTTAAAACCGTGTTACAATAATTCTTCTTGGGTCTACTCTCCGTCTTCTCCGATCTTCTAAATAAATAATTTAGGTGTGGACAAACCATCAGAAATACCAGAAATCTGTAACTGGAAAGCTCAAGAACATAAGCTTACTTCCATAGTTTAGTTTAGCAAGTATATATACTAAAAAGACAAAAACTGTCTTACCAACGCATTCCTCTTGTTTGTTGTCAGACTGGCATCGAAGGCAAGCATCTACATAAATATAAAAAATAATTAGAGGAGAAACAAAGCAATTCTTTGGCAAAAGATCGGAAATAAAAAAAAAATAACAAAAAAAACGACTGCTGAACTTCAGAAAATTATGAAATCTAAAACTCACCCATCACTTGCACGCGACAAATAGCACACGTATCGCATTCTACATCCCATGACCACATGGCCACGGCATTCCATTTTTTGAGAGTAAACATTTTCTGTACTCCTTGATCTTTAGACGGCGTGCTTTCTTCCATATTCACGTCTTGTGGCTCCTCGAGCGAAGTTTCGGAAGCCATCTTGTTCAGACCACAAGCCACCTCGCGCCGCTTGTCGTTGACAAGGACACTACTCCTGAGGGACTCTATCTAAGTAAATTAGTCGCGATAAGGTAAAAAAAGGAACAGCACAACCCCGTGCGGTTGAAGTTTTCGTTTTTAATATGGAAAATAAAAGTAAAGCTTGTTGTATATTTTTTTCCCATTCTGTATTGAACAGGTATGGTGGGGAGTTTTTTTTTTTTTTGTCAAATGTGCATCCTCACTCGCTGGGGATTGGGTAAGGTGTAGAGGAGTGTCATGCGATTGTTGACATTCGTTTGAATGCATTTCAAGCATCATGGCACAGCCTGGTTACGGTTATCCACCGCCTGTTGAAAGTAACCCTCCTCAAGGAACTTATCCACCACCTCAAGGAGGATATCCACCGACTCAAGGAGGATATCCACCGACTCAAGGAGGGTATCCACCAGTTCAGGGAGGTTATCAACCGCCTCAAGCTGGATATCCACCGCTGCAAGGAGGCCATCCGCCGCCGGTACAACCTGGCTATGCTCCCGCTCAACCTGGATATGCGCCGCCTGTCAGCCAACAACCTGGTAAAAAATTAGGTTTTTAACGGCTTTTTGAATTGCTTCCGATCAGGGCTGCTACTCCGGGTCAACAGAATTTGTTTGCGATCAATGTCAGAAGAAGTGCGTTATTCCGCCATACGCGATAAGGAAATTTGTTCTTCGATTTCCTGAAATTGGATCGTGTTAAAAACAGGAATAAGTAACTTTCAAGGATACCGAACCAAGTCGAATTCAGTTTATTAGAAAGTAGCGTTATTGATTTAAATCATTGTATGTAACACGCTTTCTTGAGGTATTTCAGTGTATTTCCAACGAGATTCGAGAAGAATCACCTCAGAAATGCGTCGCTTTTATTATACTTGTTTGTCGTGTTATTGATGTCGTGTTAGCAGAGGTTCTCATTTAGAGTGTTAAAACTATAAAACTACAAATTGTTTTGCCGTAGGATATGCAGCCCCAGCCTCTGCAGGTTATGGACAAATGCAGTGGATGCCTCCTCCTCCAGTTCCAGCGAACTGTCCTCCAGGACTGGAATATCTAACCCAAATAGATCAACTTTTAATAAAACAGCAAGTCGAACTCCTAGAAGGTAGACGTTCCGATCTCAGAAGTTTGTCCCGTTTGCTTTTTCTTTAAGGTTGCTCACTAGTCTAAAAACTATGTGGCTACAAGAAAACTTTTTAGATTTATTTTATCTACACATACATCTAATTTTTTTAAATACTTTTACAGCTTTCACTGGCTTTGAAACCAACAACAAATACAAGATTTTAAATAGCATGGGACAGCAAGTGTATTTCGCAACGGAAGGTGAGTACAGTTCTTTTCGTCAAAGTTGTCACGTATATTGCCATTGTTTAGGGGCTTCTCGTTTTGTATTAAAATCAAACGTACTCTTTATTAATTCAGAAACATATATGTAACTCATATTTATTTTTTTAAAAATTGAAGCGATACTTAGCGATTCGGGCTAATCCATGTTTAGCATATGTTAATCTTAACCAATGTAATCTTTTTTGCATCATTATCTGTGTTGGTGGTTTTCCAGCTTCACGAATTAAACATGCAATATCGTTTTTCCGCATTCTTTGATAGCATATCACATGATATTTGCGTGTGAAGCTTGGTTTTAGTGCTAATACATAACATGTTTCGTAACATTAACATATTTCCTTTACTTGTTTGGTGAAATGCACCGAAACAAAGAGCTAACTTAATTAAAATTATGATTTGGAAGTAAGGAACGTGAAATTTTTAAAGTTTGTTCCATCTTGATACAATTTGGTAGATATTCGAAGTCCAATTTCATAATGCAGTTTATTAATTAGTTATAATATTATGTAGTGGTTTAAACATCTTGATTTTGAGGGAGACCAACTTGAAATCACAAAGTTTTGCTAGTAGTTTTATAAGCCTATGTATTTACTGTGGTGTTAATATTTTATTTCATTAGATCATGATAAACTTTTGCATATTCCTTTAACTTATTTTTGCATACTTTTAGTGAAATATTTAAAAATATTACATGCAATGTTGTACAAAATGCCTAACTACAGAAAAATCATCCCAAAACAATCTCTGCATACCCTTTTCAAGGAATTTAACAAAGTAAGAATTGTTTAGCTTTGTCTGTACTCTTACTGACAATGATATTTGTCATCACAGTGGTCACTGTGATGACCAATATCTATAAGAGTAGAGACTACACCAAACTGCTGTTGATTTGTTTTTTGTCACAATACCTGCATAGAGTAAAACAATTTTTTTCAGTGTGTGACCATTGCGTGACATGTTGATGCATGCATCATTGACTGTACTATTACCAGTATTGACAACAGCAAATTGGCCAATCAGATTGTGACATTACTGTAAATTATGGTTTTATTGATGAAATATCATATTGTTTTTACTATACTATTTACATGAATGGCCTCCTTTTCCCAGCATCCTTTACTACCCCTTTCCACCCCCACCCCACCTCTTTCGGAAAATTCAGATCAAATTAACTGCAATTAGAAGGTTATGAAAAAATAATTTTTTTGTTGATCTGTTTCAGATACTGATTGTTGTACACGACAGTGTTGTGGCCCAGGGAGACCTTTTGAAATGAAAATCCTGAACAATCAGCAGCAAGAAATTGTACACTTGACTCGTCCTCTGCGTTGTCAATCTTGCCTATTTCCATGTTGTCTTCAAGAGATTGAGGTTCAATCACCACCTGGAACAGTCCTTGGTTACTGTGCTCAAGAGTAAGAAAAAATATTGCTTACATGTAAAGAGACTCAGCATATTTTGATTGAGTGCAAGGAGACCAAACAGCCAATCAGATGGAAAGAAATAACAGACAGAACCAATGAGAACTCATGGTAAAAACAGGAAAATGCTTGAAGTGTGGGAAAACACAAGTGAAAAAGTCACAGTTGGTTTTTGTCTGAATCTGATCAGTTGAGATACGTCTGAGGCTGGGATATGTCTTGTGAACCAATCTCAGAGGGAAATCAAACTTAACCAAAGTGATCTCAAATTACTTTTGACACTCAGTTGAACATTGTACTACAAGGGTTCCTAGACAAGTCATCATAACAAATAAATGCTTAAGGAGAGTAATATGAATCTGAAAAATTTGTTTTAACAGCCTATTATTTACTTTTAGGTACTTATATGAGATAACTGTCTGTATCTTTGACATCATGAAAATATAACTAGAATGAATTAGCTGCATGCTTGTAGCAAATTAGGTAGTAACATGAATATTAATATCTTTTCAGATGGTCAATATGTATTCCTAAGTTTGCCATCCAGAATGCCGACAGGGAAACAGTGCTCCGAATTGAAGGGCCTTTCTGCCAGTGCAATCTCTGTGGAGATGTTGAATTTCAGGTAATGATCAACAACATTGTGGTGGAATTTTCAGTCGTTGGCATTTCCTTAGGCTACACTTATGAATCTGTTTTCACGCAGTATTTGATGTAAGATTAACAAAAATAAGGTTACAGTCAAATACTGAGGCCTCTCATATGGCTCCTTCGCAATCTACTTTAGCCTGCAGAGCAGGTGTAATTTGGGTGACTAAGTGCTCAATATTGTCTTAGCAAAAAATGACTGCCATCTCTGGTTTTAACAGTAGAGAAAGAAATTTGTAACAAGGGGGTGAGTGACAGTCAAAAACTAGGTTAGGAGCTGGGGTAGGTTTTCTTTCCCCTTCCCCTCCCCCTCCCCCTACCTCCACCTTCCACTCGGACTCAAAATCAAACATGGCATTCAGATATTAAATGATCACAAGCTTACAAGTTACATTAACTGGCACGAATAAGACACCTGCACTGCAAGCTATATCTACCTTCAAATGACTTCATCGGAATCAGCCATATTTTACTAGGAATGATTTTCCATCATCAATTGATGTGGATTGTGATGTTTCAGCAGAAACAGAATGCTGTTAGTTTTCTGTAACAAATAAGGTTGACTGGTTAGTAAGATGGACCTCTTAGCTTGAGCACTACTTAGTGAGACTTCATTACTAGTGTTAACTAGTGATGTTATTTTAATTTTTTCTTTTTGAATTAAATAGGTGCTCTCTGCCGATGGCCAGAATCAGGTTGGAAGGATTTCAAAGCAGTGGTCAGGTTTGGTAAAGGAGGCCTTTACTGATGCTGACAACTTCGGCATCACATGTAAGTTATCTACACTCTGAGAGAAATTTTGAAATCACCACCTAAAGTGTTGCAAGTGTTGCAACTTGTTCCCTTGTAGGTTTGCATGCTTCAACTCAGTGAGGTGGTTTGGTTGTATTTTTGTAACACTCAATGGTAGTGCACCCTTAACCTGTTTACTTCCTATTATGGATTATATGGGATGCACCTCCCAAAATGCCCACTGGGGGTACCTTTTCCCGGGTAGCAGTATACAAAAGGGAAGGGAATTCATTATCAAAGTGTAGGAAAAGTAAGGAAGTTGTTTTCTGTTTAATTGTGTTAAAAAGGGCCCATAGGCTGATCTTTAAGGTGTTTCTTAGAGTTACCTTGAAAAAATAAGAGTTTTGCTTTGTTCAGTCTAGTGCTTTTACCTTGACTTTCTTGTTTTAACGGTCTCAGAGCAAGAAACGAATGCTGTGTATTAATTTGATATGAAAAGAAGTGATCTTTTTTTTTTTAAAAAAAATAAATGGTATATAAAACAGATGATGTCTATTTATAGAAGTGTCTACAATCGGTGTCAGAATTAGTTGACACATCATGTTTGAAGAATTTTTTTATGAGGAATAACAGTCCTGTTTCTACCACACTCTAAATCATTAACAGAACCCCTCCCCCACTCCCCCCTCCCCCAGTAGAGACTACACCAAACTGCTGTTGATTTGTTTTTTGTCACAATACCTGCATAGAGTAAAACAATTTTTTTCAGTGTGTGACCATTGCGTGACATGTTGATGCATGCATCATTGACTGTACTATTACCAGTATTGACAACAGCAAATTGGCCAATCAGATTGTGACATTACTGTAAATTATGGTTTTATTGATGAAATATCATATTGTTTTTACTATACTATTTACATGAATGGCCTCCTTTTCCCAGCATCCTTTACTACCCCTTTCCACCCCCACCCCACCTCTTTCGGAAAATTCAGATCAAATTAACTGCAATTAGAAGGTTATGAAAAAATAATTTTTTTGTTGATCTGTTTCAGATACTGATTGTTGTACACGACAGTGTTGTGGCCCAGGGAGACCTTTTGAAATGAAAATCCTGAACAATCAGCAGCAAGAAATTGTACACTTGACTCGTCCTCTGCGTTGTCAATCTTGCCTATTTCCATGTTGTCTTCAAGAGATTGAGGTTCAATCACCACCTGGAACAGTCCTTGGTTACTGTGCTCAAGAGTAAGAAAAAATATTGCTTACATGTAAAGAGACTCAGCATATTTTGATTGAGTGCAAGGAGACCAAACAGCCAATCAGATGGAAAGAAATAACAGACAGAACCAATGAGAACTCATGGTAAAAACAGGAAAATGCTTGAAGTGTGGGAAAACACAAGTGAAAAAGTCACAGTTGGTTTTTGTCTGAATCTGATCAGTTGAGATACGTCTGAGGCTGGGATATGTCTTGTGAACCAATCTCAGAGGGAAATCAAACTTAACCAAAGTGATCTCAAATTACTTTTGACACTCAGTTGAACATTGTACTACAAGGGTTCCTAGACAAGTCATCATAACAAATAAATGCTTAAGGAGAGTAATATGAATCTGAAAAATTTGTTTTAACAGCCTATTATTTACTTTTAGGTACTTATATGAGATAACTGTCTGTATCTTTGACATCATGAAAATATAACTAGAATGAATTAGCTGCATGCTTGTAGCAAATTAGGTAGTAACATGAATATTAATATCTTTTCAGATGGTCAATATGTATTCCTAAGTTTGCCATCCAGAATGCCGACAGGGAAACAGTGCTCCGAATTGAAGGGCCTTTCTGCCAGTGCAATCTCTGTGGAGATGTTGAATTTCAGGTAATGATCAACAACATTGTGGTGGAATTTTCAGTCGTTGGCATTTCCTTAGGCTACACTTATGAATCTGTTTTCACGCAGTATTTGATGTAAGATTAACAAAAATAAGGTTACAGTCAAATACTGAGGCCTCTCATATGGCTCCTTCGCAATCTACTTTAGCCTGCAGAGCAGGTGTAATTTGGGTGACTAAGTGCTCAATATTGTCTTAGCAAAAAATGACTGCCATCTCTGGTTTTAACAGTAGAGAAAGAAATTTGTAACAAGGGGGTGAGTGACAGTCAAAAACTAGGTTAGGAGCTGGGGTAGGTTTTCTTTCCCCTTCCCCTCCCCCTCCCACTCGATGTTGGCTAAAAGTTTGTGGAATCACAGTACAACATTGTTGGGGGAGGGGGGGAGGGTAATGTTTAACTTAATGAGGGAAAAAGAAATACCGTATTTACCGTGTATAATGCGCGCCCACGTATAACCCGCACCCTTGTTTTTAAACCTAATTTATCAAAAAAAAGTTTTTCACGGTAAAAAAGACAAGTTAAATATTCGTGCAATTGTTTATTAAGACAACAAGAATAAGAAATTTACTATATCGTTAACATCAATATCTTTTGCTTTTGCTACTTAGTTATTTATGTTAGTATTGAAATCAAACTTTAGGACTTCAAGCGAGGTCTAGCTAATTTGACGATTCCATGGCTCGGTGAATATTATGAGTGAGCAACAATATGATTTTGAGTCATATCGTCGTATTTTTAGAATCGCTTTCTTCTTGCTTCTCATTGAAAAATTCCCTGTAACATGAGATCTCTTCACTGACACGCGGCCATGCATGCTTTGCGATCGCAGTTTCAGTCCCAGGCCCTTTTTCGTTTTGTTACCGGCGAATTTGCATATATTCACTTTGAAATCTGATCCACGTGCCTGTTTGCGCACTTTCGAAAATAATTAGCGATTTTTGTCTTTCCTCTGGATTTTAGAGTAAAAACTTAATATGTACTATAAATGTTCATTGAAAATAAGTCATTTAATCAAAGCTTTAAATGTATTACTGTTTTTTGTTGTGTTTTTAACGTACGCAAATTAGGACGTGCGTGGCAAACAATGGAATCCGTGTATAATACGCACCGCGATTTTGATGGTTATTTTTGTAGGAAAAAAGTGCGCATTAAACACGGGTAAATACGGTAGGGGGTTGAAAAGATCAATATGTGAACAATTTTGTCGTCGATTGTAGCATTTTGGTTAAGTTTTTTTTTTTTCCATACTTGCAGTTCCCATGGACCTTGATGTTAAGATGAAGGCTGTTGTACTTGGTGCTTGTTTCCTCATTGTAAGTTTGCTTGATGGTCGTTTACTGTATGAACCCTTTGCACCATAACATCAATATACATATTCTCCATACTTTTCTCTATACATTTCCTAAGGTACTGACAAGGAGAATTTGTTAAACAATCAAGGGCCCTTTTTAGTTGGTGATTATTTCCTCTAATCTCTCAGCCTTAAGAGTATGATTCAGGGGTGCCATTGTAAGGGCAAATCATATGCTGATTAAACTCAGGGTTCATTGTGGAGTATTTGTAGAGGGGTAGCAAAGGGGGGGGGGGGGTCCTGATCCTCTGGCGGAAAAATTTTCAAATCTCCAATCTTCAGTTCTTAATGAAAACGATGCTACTTACGTAGTGTTGGTGTGTGGCTCTCGAAATCAATTGTACGATGATTTCTCAAATCTTGCTGTTGTTGACGGTTACTGACACCAGTTTACTCTCTCCTGTTTGTAGGATTTCATGTTCTTCGAGAAGGCACAGAACCAGGATAATCACAATTATTAATGAATACCATCAGAAAAGTACAATTTCGGCATATTAGCAGCCCGGACAGAACCAGAATAAAGCACGTATACTTTATGTTTGTAGGAGTGTAGAGGAAAGTAATTTTTGGCTATATAGAGTTTGGCAATGGCAATGCAGCCTTTGTCGGAAGCTGTATATAGATACATATTTTTTTTGTAACGACGCGCTTCAACAACCGTTATGTCACTCAAAGCCGCTTTCTTACTACCCTGCGAGCAGAGGCCCTTCTGATCTTCCCGACTAATCTAGGAAGATCAAAGGGCCTCTGCTCGGTACTTTCTTACGCAAGTGGCAATGAAAGACATTATCCCACGCTCTCCATAAAATCCCTTACTAGATAAATCTTTCAGGTTTTTGTTTTCGTTTTACAAGGTTATAGTGTGTTTCGACACACGTTGATTTTGATGTTTTCATCCGACTCTGTGTTAACTGCCAGAAGTAATTGAAAGAAACGGCCAAGTCTCCAAACTGAAAGATTGCCGTTTCGGACAGTTGCTAATTGGAATTTTGACTCTTTAAATTTATGTGCATGTCTGAAAACATTATGAGAGTAGCAAGTTACTTGTTGTCAAGTGATTACCGCTGATCGTAAACAAAACAGAGCTTATTGCAAAAATATAGTTTTCTCTTTGGTAAAACTTTCGATCACTCCTTTGAAACTGTAGATCTGCATGTCTCATAAAATAGGCATTGTACTTGCGTTGCGTGACATCCTATCTAAGAATGGATTTAAAGGAGATTATCGTCACAAGGATGCTTACACGCTTATACTTAACGTATCTGAAGTACCATCTCAAGTTAGCTAATTCACCGCAGTTTTCGTTATTTTTTATGACACACAAATGGCTGTTCAACTTTGCGGATAAACAATGTTAAGCATAAATCCAGTAAAGTAGAAAAAGGGACTTTTACTGGTAAGGCAAGTATGAACAAGGTTCACGAAGGATTGAGAAAATGAAAAACAGGATGTAACATGACGCTCTTCTTAAACTTAGCGTACACAACGTAACCTTTCTCACTTTATTTGGATGTATTAAATAAAAAAATGAGAGGTTAATTGCGTTGATCGGGCGCTGTTTTTGTTGCTGCGGTGTGTCCCCTCTTCAAATTTCTGTCTACTCCGTTTATGGGGGCGATTGAAGATTCTTGGCTTTCGAGTGTAGCATGCCCCATCCGCCATCCGGCCCCTCCTCGGACATTCTCTACTGAAGCAGGCCGGGAAGCCCTGATTACAGTGGAAGCAGACCAAGGTCCAAAATCTTCTCCAGTCCTCTTCGCTTTCAGATTTTCCCCCGGTCTCACCTTAAGCGTCATTGCGGGTGCGAGACCTCATAAACCTATGCTTTTTAGAGAAAGTATTCTTATTCAGGGTGTGCATGACTTCCCAGCAAAGGGGAGAGATCCAACATTAGAGTCTTAGTGGCATCTGGAAGCATTGTGGTTGTTTTAAAAATGATTATTCCTGTCATAATACGCTTTCCTTTGGCGAACAGAGAAGAAGCATGCAATATTTTACACTAGCCCGCCTTTCAAATCCGCGCTGGGGCATTGTTTTCTGTTCTACTGACCTTTTATGCTATCTAATCAAGAATTACTCACTGCACCTTTCAGCAACTTTCCCTATTCATCATGAGTGCTCCGAAAATTTACAGTCTGTCTGTCTAACTGAGCTAATCTCTAATTATATTCCTTGCCATTCGGCTCAGGAAATTTCCCAACCCCTGCGTGCATGTTCGGACTTCTTCCCAACATTTCGGGCAGCCAAACCCACTCAGGGAGCGCAGCAATGCTGATAAATGAACTGACACGAGGGTCACGTGATTCGATTTTACTATTGATGCGTAAATTCTAGGAACCCAACTAATGACCTCGATGACAGGAAGTCTAAAGACCTCGCCACAGAGCCAGTCAGCCCTGACGCCGTACGCCATGTCGATTCCAACTCGGCTGCATTGAGTCAACGCGGAACTCATAAACAATGGCGGACAAAACGAAGACAAGCACGCTTCGGCTTCTTGTGGCGCTAGCTCTGGTGTTATTACTCGTGTATTGCGTGTCATTGAGTGCCTTCGTCGTTTATTTGATGCGAGATTACAACGAGTTGAGACATCACATCCAAGATTTGCGGGGTCGAGTTATTTTATTGGAGGATGGAACAGTGAACGCCGTAAAGACAACTATTTCGCCCTCAAGTACCCAAGACAAGCGTGATAACAAGGACTCACGACCTCAGGTAATGCAACAAGTCCAAAATTATCGATGATTACGTCCTACGCAATCAGAAGCTTACTTTCATGTCATCGATAATACGTAGACTAGTACGCGACGAGATGTCTCTTTCTACATAATCAGCCTTGTTGACAACTGATGCAAATTTGGAACTTAGGTCACCCTTGATTGCGTGCTGAAAATAAGTCTGCATACATCCATTACTTCTGATCGTTATCTTTTCAAATCACCAAAATAAAATTCTTCCTAGAGTAAGATGTTATTTTCTGTCGCCTGAAAGAAATAAGCCTTGTAATCCTCCACTCGTATTAGTTAGAACAGGGTAATTAGCTATCCTCACGCAGACGAAAAGCGGATATCATGTTGCTAATTGTTTTATACGAGCTTTAGTTTCCTTCCGGAATTTTAAGCCGGACAGCATGGGACAAAATTCGCAGAAAGGAAGAGGTTTTTACTGCTAATTTCATCTGCAATTGTGTGTATACCAACATTGACATCATCAGTTACGGCCTCCCTGGGCGGATATTTTGACTTCCATGTGCAAATACCACAAACGTGACCCTGCTCTTCAGAAAATTAAACGATGTATAGCCAATCTCGTATTTTTGATTGCGTAGTTTTTCCTGTGTCGCGTTCTATGTCCATTTTTCCTGTAGAAGTTTTCAATCCTGAATAAAACACTGCCACATTCCAACAAGAAGCATGATGTAGTACGACTCATTCATTCATTCCCACTTTCCCGCTTTTCTCAGTCATCTTCTTTTCCCTTTCATTCGGTTGTAACTTCCGCAGTCAAGAGCATACTCTTCGTAGTTATATCGCAGAAACTAGTGGTTTTTTTGACCCAAAGAGCAAAACTACTGAAACTTAGCCTCACAGTCCATGGTTGGTCTTGGTAAAAGTACTCACTTTAGAACATGTTAATGAACAACAATTTCAACGAGATGGTAATGTTTGACGCCACAGGTAGCTCATGTATCTTCTTATCAATTATCATTTTTAGGACTCCCGGCTGTCGGTGATTCCACCTGGACAAACGAGAGAAAAGAAAGAAAAATAATAAGTTAACTAAAAATAGGACAACTCCCTTTCAGTTGATAATTTTATCGATCGCATCAGCTCCCTGTCTCCCAAATAGAGCTATGATTTGGAGTTATGACAAGTTGATCACTGCTACATTAGAGAACCCAATTATCTTGACCGGGGTCTGATCACTGCTACATTAGAGAACCCAATTATCTCGACTAGAACACGAGAAACACGCACGCGGGAGAGCAGACCCGCTGTCATTCTGATTCACTTGCAGCATGTTTATGATGAATTAGAGGCTCAATAACATCGTACTTTTTAAACTTGTACAGATGACTGAAATTGTTGATGTCAAGAACGTTTTCCATGAGAGGCGCAAACGAAAATCTCCTGACGCCTGTGCGCGGATCGTGTGCCCCTCGGGACCCCCCGGAACTCGAGGACCGCCAGGTAAGGCATGACCTAACTTCGTAAGTCCAGCGTAAGTCTTTGACCGTGTTCTGGAGTAAAAAACTGGGTGAATAAACGAGACACAAATTCTTCACGAAAACGTTTGACCGCTCTTTCTGTATCATTGATCAAATAGGAAATCTTAATAAGAGGGAGAAGACGCTTTTTTTATTTAGTAGTGTAATCGTTCAATTTTAGCTGTCATTTACTTATTTGACGAAGATATCTGCCTGGAAATCCTAAAGCTAAAACAACCAAGATAGTGATTCTACGAAGGTGTTACAATTCTTTTTTTTAAGAGGCTTTAATTCCTTGTCAAAAGTTCTCAGCAGATGATAAGATCAACTTGTCTGTCTGTGTTTCATCATCAGGTCAAAAAGGAAGAAGAGGAAAGAGAGGACATCCAGGTTATTATCTGCCTCAGGAACTGATAATTGTGCGAAGGGGGGTG